ACTTCTGATAAGATAGCCCAAGTATATGAATAAGAGAGGAGGCCGAACATGTAAATGCTGCTACTTAGAAGAAAAATGTCTATATTTCACAACACATTATACATTTTCAACTACATTAAAGTAGTTAGTGCTGCAGTCACATAGTGCGGAACTTAAAACAGTGATTCTCATGAGGAAATGTCTACATGAAGACAGAAAAACAGTGGAACAATGGCTTTTCATGTTGATACACATTCAGTTTCGTTATGAACCTGTTAATATCACTTAAACAACTTTTGACCTGACAGCATCTCTTTTATTTTCCAGGCACTCCAGCAGATCAGAGAGGAAAGATATAAGAATAATATCCATGGCAGAGGGGACCCAGAAATTCAGAGTACATAAGATTAAAGTATTACAGGTTGTTGGTAGGAGATAGGCACTCCAGTAATCTTAAAAGATGTTTTAATGTTTTAATGTTAGCTTTCAACAGTTTACTACTAGTAGTTTGTGTCACAAGGCATTACACAAGGTTTACACTTACCCTAAAGTTAAAATGTTTATCATTCAGGGTAATTTACCATAGCTTAGTATATCTGTATTCAATTCGAATAAAGGTCTTTTACTCTCAGTGTGTTTATGATTATTGTTTGTTACGCTACTAACTGTTGGCAACTCTGCACCATCCTCCTCTCCACCAATCTTTCATTCAATCAGCCTTTTATTGTGCTGTTGTTCACACAGTCCTTTGCTTGCTGTTGCTTCATAGCCCTGGGTTTCATATCTGCTTATGCCAGAAATTCTGCATCAGTGTGTGTATGTGAGAAAGATGGATGCCACAGTAAATATAGATTGGGCTCACGTGCTGATACTTTAGGACGTCGTGCTGTAGCTCATGTCATGCTGTAGCTCGTGTCATGCTGTGTTTACAACTAAAACACAAACAATAAGCGTAGGAGGGAGTGTTTACACTTTCAACTCAGTTTGCCTAGACCATTTTGGTTGGTAGATAAGAAGGCCTCAAGGGAGCTTCTTTTACAACATAAACCTCATGCAAACGTCTTGTGAATTACAACATGGTTGGTCACACTGAGTTAAATTTTTCAAGACTCAGAAAAACGACATTTTGCAGTGGTTGGGTTAGGGTTTCTTCTGCAGGCCATGTGAGGCGCTGAATACATATTTTTTGCAGGGCACAAAAGAGATGCCCTACCCTCTGTGTCAGTCGGTGTGGAATCAGGATGTTGGACTGAGGGGCAGGGCGCTAGCCCTGTTAAATATTGACTGCAAGTGTAATAATTAACCTCCAACCAAACCCTGATCTCTTAAACTGGCCGCTCTGCCTCGCTGCCATTGCTTCGCCATCATTGCTGCCATTTACATCAAAATGCGCTGCTTTTAGTTGCAGTTCACCGTCAGTATCACCCTCTGTGTTCGCCTGTCTTTGTCTTGTCTTGTCTGCTCTGCTTCTACTTTTTCTGTATTTCAACTCTGCTGCTCTGCTGTCCGGCTCCCTGTGTCATGACACCCTGCTGCTCTGCAAACCTTTGGCCTCGTCTTGTGAAAGCCACCAGGGCCTGTTGCATCTAAAGGTGAGTACAGCTCTTCTATGTGAAATTTGCAGGATTAAAACAATGGACAAGGACAACTCCAATTATTTTTTCCCCGTAAAGAATACCAGACAAAAGCAGGTGTAAACCAGAAAATAAAATATTCACCATAATATTTTACTACATTAAATCGGCCTTCCTTAGTTTAATACGCTGAAGACCTTAACTAGGTGCTTTTGTCTTTTCTAATATTTGAAAAATGTATTTGTTTGTCAGGCCAGTAATGTTATTATTTGTTTTTTGGTACGGTTATTGAATAAGACAAACTAGGTGTAATTCTAGTAATTAACGTTAATGTTCTTTGAAGAGGCAGAGAGCGATGGATGCAGTCTGATTGCTAAATTCAACAGAATAAAAAACGACCAAGTGCAAGAACAGATGGTCTAACAGGTCTAATCATTCAATTGCTTAAGTGTTCTGTTTTTTATGTGCAGTTTTACTACAAGGCAAAGTCTACAAAGATGTTACTCTGCAGGCTGAACAAGACAGGACAAAAAAGAAAACCATACACTGCAGAATTAATTAGTTAGTTAGTTAGTTCAAACTGACAATCTTTTAGTACTTAGGAGGACAAATGTCAGTGTAAGCAGGAAATCGGGGCCTGCAGGTACATAGGTCAGACACACCCATACATTCACATATTGAAAAGCGCCCTCATGTTGACAGCTACCATAAAATCTGTGTTATCTATACAAGCCTTGGCCCTTTGGCCGTGCTGTTGGAAGAGCGTACGCCGTCTACTTCAGGCAATAAAACGGGGAGGAGGAAATTGCCTGGTCAAAGTCACTTGCAAGTGGAAACGCCTCGCGTACTAAAGCAGCTGCCTCCAAGTCCAGATCCTGAGTTGACCTAGATGCTTTCTCTTGCTGCTTTTCTCCTCTGTCTCTCTCACTTTCATCTCATGTACTTCCACACCAGCACCCAACCCCCCTCTGAAGGAACTGGAAGTGTGATCTCATCATCAGGTTTGTCCATCTGTAGCATGCCTGGCTTGGAGAACAAGTGGAGAAGCTGCAGTTTGCTGTCAGTGATGAGCCTTCTGGTGCTTGCTGGATGTAACAGCAACTCCATGTGGAAGCTGTGTCTGTTCCAGTGGAGGTGCTGTTACGTGCAGAGAGCCGCCAGACACAACATGAAGCCTGAATTCTTACTTTAACAAAGTTTTTATTTTATTTTTTTTACTTCAACTGACTTTTAAGTCTTGCTGATTCATCACAAAGCTCACAGTTTAATAAAACATACACAGTCGTTTTTATTCTGAAGCAGCTGAAGAGCGATGGGGCACAAGGTGATGACCTATGAATTGACAGCCAGTGATTGTAACATCTGCCTGTCAGTTCTGTAGGCCACTGCTGTGTTAGTCCTTCTGAACGTGTACAGATTTAAGCAAGAAGAAGGTTTCATGGATGTGTCTACAGCTGGTGCATCAACGGACCAACTGTGACTTTTGTGGCTTTTACATTTATTGTTTTTGAAACATCTTTTAAAATGAATAAAGTCTGAATGTGCTACTTTGTGCGTGGATGAGTCTGTCATTTATTCTGTGCAAGATTAATGTGTTGCCAAAGAAAGTCGAGTCTGTTTCATTTATGTAATTCAAAACCACAAAGTAGCTTTAAAGGGACTGGGAAAACTAAGCATGTAATAATTATCTTACAATGGATTAACAAAAACAAGGACACAGGTGCCAGAATGCTAAGCACACATGATTATGAAATACTAATAATTAAAAGTACCATTAAAGGAATAGCAAAGATGAAGTTACCTCAGTACAAATAGTTACTGACCTCATGTTATGCTGAAGCACTACAGATTTTGAAATGTCCTCAGTATAAATGAAAGTGACTGGGATCAGGAAGTGCCGACGCCATTCTCGACTGCTGTTTCAGCCTTAATGGAGACAAGTTGACGTGGTCTACTTGACATACTGGAGCACCCAAACTCAGAATAATTAAATTTATTTTTTACATGAAATGGATCATAAATAAACAAAGCTTACAAATTACAATTTTTCAACATGGTAAAATTACTTATTAATTAATAATAATATATGATGTGGCAATAAAGTGTGCATGCATAACAGCCACCAAACTTTCACTTTTGCATTCTGTTCTATTAATAAGTCACTGTTTTGAAAAACTGTTCATTGGACTCTTAAATTTTACTAAGGATTAATGATTAAAACTAAATATTGTAAATTCTCAGCAGCTAGTTTGTGTGTTTATATGCATCAACATTTATCTAGATAAGACCCAGCCATTAATATTGGTGGGATGTTCCTTATAACAGTGAGTGAGTCCATACAGTCCATGTGCACACACACCTTGAACAGCCTGTCAAATAAATTATGATCATATTACCACAAAATGACAACAAAAATCCAAATAACTGCAAATGGCTTTGTTTGCTTACTAATTAAACCACAAATTACTACAAACACTGTTTGATCAGACAGATTGTGGTCCAGAAAACCAACAGTCATGTGCTGGAATATAACTTGGCCACATTCATACACTCTAGGTTTCTTTGTTTGTTGTGTTTTGATTAAATGCAAATTTTAGAATGACAGGGCCCTTACAAGTAGGCTATACACACACATTTAAAATGTTGCTTCTGCTGCCACCTAGCTCTTAATAAGACCACCTTCATGCACACATTGTAGCATTGAATCAGTCAGATGGCACCAGACCTGAAACCTTCAACTGATTATAGTCAGTGAGGGCGCTGTTACTCTACATTTTGACACATTTTAAAAGACGATGTGCTCAAATTGTGCATGTTATCAAATAAACAGCTAACCAGCTTACACACGCTGAACCAAGGCAGTTGCCTCCTTTTATTAGGTTTAAAGCATTGGATTTGATGGAGATGATTTTGCCTCCGATCAATTAATTATTAAGGCGTGTGTTTCAATCAGTTAACGAGTAAAACCATCTGAAAAACGTTTTTGAAACTCCTTATCTAAGTATCTTTGCTATCATAATAAACCGTCAAAGGCCAAAAGACAGCCAGAAATGCAAAGTATGTTCGTGTCCAGTATGGACCATACTGTATGGTTATTCCGACCATTTAGAAGCACAAACCTCAATAAGTGCACAAAACGAGCTGTGCAGTCTGTCCAGAGGATTAAAGCGAAGGCGGAAGTGGAGAGGAGTGAATCACACTGTATTAGTGTACTCTTCGTGAATAGCGGTGTCAATTCAACGGCCGTGGTATTTAAATAAACCGAGTTGGATACAACGTCTGTGTGCCAGTTAATCGAATATAGTAAGTCTGACAGATTTATAGGGAGAATAAACTGATAACTGAGCCTAAATAGATGTATTTTGATATTCAGAAGCAGAAATTATTTAAGCAGAAACACTGCCATCTAGCGGTGAAGCGACGGACGAGCACTTCCCGTGACGCGGAGAAACGCGGTAAAACGATATTCCGGTTTGCAGACAACAGCATGGCATCCGATAGCACCATGGCTAACGTTAACGGACGAGAGACCGTCTCCCTGAACGGGGAACCGGTCGTTAAACGGCCACGGGAGAGTGTCTCGCAGGAGAGTCTTCTCCGTGTCCCGAAGGAGCCTCAGAACAAAGTGACCGTGGTGCTCGGAGCGCAGTGGGGCGACGAGGGCAAAGGAAAAGTTGTGGACTTGCTCGCAATGGATGCGGATATTGTATGCAGGTGCCAGGTATATTAACGCTGCCGATTTAACTTCACAATTAACACTCGGAATGACTGCTTCACAAAGTGACGTTGTTAATGGGAAAGAGTTTGGGGAGAGTAGTTACCGTTTAGCTGCCGTTAAATATTCATGACCTGGTTCCGACGTCAACAACCTTGTCTGACCTCCCGGATGTGGAAGTGCTAAGTTGAAGCTAACAAGTAGCCTACTGCTAAGCTGTTTCTCTTTTTACCTGCTGGCGTGGTAGCAAAATGTGTTCTGAATACAGCAAATGACCTCCACATACTGATATCCAGAGATTGTTACTATAAGGCGCAGTTGTTACCAAGCTGTTCCCCTCTCTCTTTCCAGTCAACCCAATGACATTTAGCAGAGATTTAGTATTTATTATTTTATAACCAACTACAAACTCTGTTAATGCAGGAAGTAAATAATTGGACCCTGTTGGCTGAGCTGTTAGAGCAGACTAAACACTGTACCTGTCCTCAAGTGTTGATGCTTTCTGTTGTGAACTCCTTCAGTGTTGTGTTGCATCAGAAAGCAAGTTGACTGTTTGTACTGTTTGCAGGGAGGCAACAATGCAGGACACACCGTGGTTGTGGACTCTGTGGAGTATGACTTCCACCTGCTGCCCAGTGGAGTGCTCAACAAGAAGGCTGTCTCCTTCATCGGTAGGAGACAACCCTTGTGTGTTATATCGAAAGACTTGGCAGGAAGATAAAGAGCCTAATAAAACATCAGTATATGACCATTATAAGGGGGAACATCAAACCCACACCAGGGAAGCCTTTTCAGTTATGTGACCCTGCTTTTATAGTAATTACTATAATTGTATTTGTTCACTTTTAAACTGATCTAGAGTGGTGTTTATTCATCTCCTTATGGTCATTTTTCTTCTAGTACTGTGTCCACAAACACTTTCCAGAGGGTAGGATTTATTGTAGAGCCCAACCGATGTTTCAATATTTGAAATATAAAAATGTATATTTATAAATTTTAAAAATATTTAAAATCCCATATGCTGTGATTCTTTTTTCCCCTTATTTTATGAAACACACAACATAAACAAAGATTATCCCTAACATTTGTTATGTTGAGAGCATACCAAGATATCTGATTTGTTTTAAGTTATGGCGTACTACTACAAATGAACATTAAAGTAATTAGTGTAGGTGGTGGCCAGTGAAACAAAACTATAAAAAATACCAATGTACTACTAATAATAATAATAATTAAAGCTGCAAGCAGCGTTGGGCGGGCCCTTGCACGTGTAGCGTGTCGAGGTGTGAGGCAGCCGCGTTGCAGATTCTGGAGCTCTGCCAATGTGGCTTTGAATTTCCAATGCGCTTCGGGTGCTGGACAAACATGTTAATCATCACTTCCTGTGTTCCCTTTATGGCACTACATAGCACTACGACTATAAATGAACATGTAGATGTGTTCGGGGCAAGACTGGTATGAAGCACATAAAGTTTGGTGCAGATGTGATCATGTACACTGAAGTTGAAACAACTTCCTCTTTCATGGTGAGTCATTGATTTTGGACGCCACGGGCACGACGTTTCACGAAAACTCACCTTTTGAACAACTTTTAATCGTCAAAGGCTTTAGAGTAGACAGGGAAAATCTGACGTCGGTTGGACTAATTCTCTAGGAGGAGTTTGTTTAAGTATGTGTGTAAAAAAAAATCCCAAAATAACCATAAAATTAAAAATGGCCGACTTCCTGTTGTGTTTAGTACATCGCTCCAAGTGGCTTTTTTATACATCTGGACCTGATACATGTACCACAAAAATTTCATACATGTGGGTAAAACGTGCCGCGGGGGCTGCTTCGTTGAAGATCTCTTCCTGTTGCCAGTAGGTGGCGCTATGACTATGGGTGAATGTTGTCTTGTACATGTGTTTAGGGCAGGACTCTTTTCAAACGTGTAAAATCTGGTACAGATGTGAGTATGTACAGTCAAGTTACAACAACTTCCTGCGTCATGGCGAAGAGTTTAACTTTGCCGCCACACCATTAACTGCAAAGTCACGAGTTTTTCAACATGGCTTCATCAGTGCGTTATGGGTTTTCTGGGACAGTTTTGAAGTTCCTAACCTGCTAGGAGTAGTACATTACATCGTAAAAAATGTGACACTTCCTGTTGCCAGCAGGTGGCGCTTTGACTTTGAGTGAATATTGGCTCGTGGATGTGTTCAGGGCGCGACTCTTATTATATGTGTAAAATCTGGTGCAGATGTGAGCATGTAGACTGAAGATACAAGAACTTCCTGTTTCATGGCGAATCATCGATTTTTGATAGCACGCCACGGGCAAACTGATCGACTGATAATAACCGTTAGTACAACTTGTAATCGTCCATGGGTTTAGATCGCACAGCAAAAATTTGAAGTTTATCGGACTAATTCCCTAGGAGGAGTTTGTTAAAGTACAAACTGTGTAAATCGGCAAAAATGACCATTAAATGTAAAATGGCCGACTTCCTGTTAGGTTTTGGCAATGGTTCCAAGAGTTTTTTTTGTGCGTCTGGACATGATACACATACCACAGAAATTTCATGCACGTGGGTGAAACTTTGTCCGGGGGCTGCTCTGTAGGGGGCGCAAGCGAGCCATTTTGCCCCCCCCCCCCCCCCCCCCCCCCCGGGAAACCAATACAATTTTTCCATGTGTCTGAATTATGTGCAACGTTTGGTGAGTTTTCGAGCATGTTTAGGCCCCCAAACTTGAGGTTACTTTGCAGAAGGAAGAAAAAAAATCCCTTCAGTTTCAAAAGGGACCTCGCTGAGTCCCTGACCTGAACACTGAGTGCGAGAGCGACCAGGAGCTACTTTTCCTTTTTAATAGTCATAAATCGCCTGTTGTTAACGCCGATGCCGATTTATCTGCGAGTAGCTTATATCGGCCAATAATATCTACAAAACGATAAATCGGTCAAGCTCTAATTTATTGCAGTGCTGTTGTTTTAGTGAGGTGTAGGTAATAAACTGAGAGTATGCACGGATACAACAGTCAACACACACAGAAGACCTACAGGGACTATTAAGTGACAAAGTAACACAAAGGGCAACTATAGGTTAAATTACACTGAAGTCTGTCCACTGGTAATGTAAATATACCCAGTGTTCCTACAGACGTGTGTTCTTGATTTTGCGTTTCCTCTTTTTGGTAGCTATTTTGTTCCCCCCAGTATTATGAAACCATGAAATGAGAAAAGAGGAAACATTAAAGGAACACTTGTTCAAGTGATTGGTAAAAATATCATGTTATATAAATAAAACCCCTTGTAAAACATTAGCAGGTTGTTAGTCACCAGAAATGACTTGTGAAATAGTGCGTGAGGTCAATTCTCATGAGGATTGTTTCATTTGAGGTTTCATTTTACATTACAGGTAACGGGGTGGTGATACACCTTCCAGGTCTGTTTGAGGAGGCAGAAAAGAACCTGCAGAAAGGCAAAGGTAAAGTTTTCAAAAGAGGAAGGATGCAGTGATATATGCACATTGTCTTCCTTAGAAACCAGCGTCGGTATTCATAAATGGACCTTTTTCACGGAAGATATTTTGACACGTCAGTAGGAAAATAACAGGCTTAAATTATAATAAAATGAATGATGGCTGAATTCCATCTAGCTGCTTCACTTTCAGGGTCATGTGATTAGTGGCTTACTGTCATGGCTCACTTATTTGTAAGACAAGTGCTTTCACTACTGTTGTGAAAATGATATATTGTCCTGCTGACACTTTTTTAAATTTTTTTTTTTGCTATATACAGATGTTTGATGTAGTGCAAATGTAATGTGGGATTTGTTGTGTGCAGGATTACAGGGATGGGAGGAGAGATTAAAGATATCCGATCGTGCTCACATTGGTGAGTAAGCCTTTTCTCTTTCAAGCGTTTGAATTAGAAATGTCCTCTTACTCGTCACTTTTATCTGCCTCTAGTGTTCAACTTCCATCAAGCGGTTGATGGGATCCAGGAGCAGCAGCGGCAGCAACAAGAAGGGAAAAAGTAAGTCTAGTTCATTATGGTTATTAATAGGGCTGTACCAAATAGCTTGAAGCTTCATTCATAACATAGACATTCAAATTTAAATCAACCTTTCTTTCTTTTTTTTTCTCTCCATGTCTATTAATTCTGTTAAAAGCCTGTATTTCTGCACAGCTGCAGATAAATATGAGTATTACAGATTTGTAGACTTAGATCCCAGGGAGATCCAAACATTTCCAGTAACTCCAGAGCATTGGTTATTCCAAAAGTCTTTTTTTATTGAAAAAAGATAAATGTAATCATCTAAAATTCACATGTACATGTATTAACAGTGCGGTCTGACGGCACCATAAATTACATTTATATAACCACAATAACAAAAATCTGTTTTCGGCTCTAGCAGTTTGTGACATTGTTGCCTGCACTGCACTATTCAGATTTTGCGATTAGCCTGCTGCCTTCATGTGTTATGTTGAGTTATATTAATTAATGATTTAATAAAAAAGTCTTCACTCATTTAATCTGAGTCATTTTGTTTGAATTGAGGATTTTGTTCAAGGATATTTACTTTTTTTGGGATGATGTCATAAAATATGACAACGGATATTTGAAGCTTTATTCGAAAATCTCCAATACAAGCTTTGAATGTAAAAAGGTTTTTTATATTTAGTGCAGTCCGAGTTATTAATGCTGTGTTGTTATTTGTTCTCCAGTTTGGGAACCACTAAGAAGGGTATCGGCCCTGCCTATTCATCCAAAGCAGCTCGCAACGGTCTGCGAGTCTGTGACCTTGTATCAGACTTCAAGGTTTTTGAAGACAAGTGAGTTGTTTTGTTTGTCCCCCCCCCGGTCTCATTTCTTAAATTTTCTTATTTTCTTTGTTACGATATGGTAAGTGATCTTAAATTAGATAAAGTGTCAAAGACTGCTGTTGGGAACCTCAGATCAGCTTTTGAGGTGACCATGCCAGGTTCAATATTTCCAACATTGAAGAGATTTTGAATTAAGCAGTGATCAGGATGGTGAATCTTTTCAAAGTGTGCAGAGAATTTAATGTCATTTTTTTGTTTTGCAATACTGTGACGAGCAACTCTTTTATAAGGGGGCAGCTCTGTTTCCATCCCAAAATGTAATAAATTAACTTCTCAAGAAAAAAGTGTGAGTTCAGGATACATTTTGAAAGCATTTGAATTGTATTTTGACAAAGCAATCTTCTGCATTTGTAAGAGGACTTTATAGACATTAGGGCGTCCGTAGTTCATCACAAGGGGCAGATTTATATTCTGCAGGTGTCATAAAGCATTGCCTCAATAATTGTAGCGTCTGTATCTTCTCTTGCCACCAGGTGGCAACACCTGGCCGTGCTACACATGTGGAAACTGCTGGCACTCTTCTTTCATGGAAGCATTATTATAGCCTGTCTGTCCTCCATATCATGTGTGGAATTACGTTGTGGAGATATATTTGCATGCAGACGCTTACTGAACATGTGTAAGCAGACTCCGTCCTTCTCTCAGGTTTCGTATGTTGGCAGAACATTTCCTGACGATGTATCCAAACCTTAACATCGACATTGACAGTGAACTGGAGCAGCTGAAGGTGAGGACAGGCTATCTTTTAGAGCCAGGAAATACAGACAGAATCACATATCACAATAGTTTTGACTCAGCATTGATATGTTGACAACAGACCATGTACAATGTTGTTGTTAAATCTGACATCATTCCCGTAATCGAGATTAGCGTTTATTTACTAGTTTCATATGATTCGGGTGTCTATTGCCTCTCAAACGCCCTGAATTGAGGGCTGCTGGAGTTGCATGTTTTGCTGAACAGTGTTCACTGTTTTCTTTTTTCATACACAAGTTGAAGATTTCAAACAGCACATCTAGAGATGGACTAAGAATGAGTTGGTGTCACTGTTTTTCAGGCATATGCAGAGAGACTGCGTCCTCTAGTGACTGATGGGGTGTACTTCATGCACAAAGCCCTTACTGGACCCAGTAAGAAAATCCTTGTGGAGGGAGCCAATGCTGCTCTCCTGGATATCGACTTTGGTGAGCGACACAGAGTTTACGGAATGCCTTATGAATTACGGATGGATGTTATGCCGCCTCAGATTAACAGATGTTTCTCCGTTCAGGGACCTATCCTTTCGTGACTTCTTCCAACTGCACTGTGGGAGGAGTCTGCACTGGTCTCGGCGTGCCTCCGTCATATGTTGGCCGTGTATACGGTGTCGTTAAAGCGTACACCACCCGGGTGGGCGTTGGTGCTTTCCCAACAGAGCAAGTTAATGTGAGTAAAGACACAATGAATTGGTGACACTTTTAACTCAAAGGTGAAAGGTTACCAAAGTCTGCCAGCAATGTGCGCTAGATAGTTTACTTTGTGACTGCTCAGTGGTTAACTTAAGAGGAGTGTGCTGCTTCTCTGCGTGAGTGTATGAATCTGATCAGGATAATAATGGAAAGGGGGCAGGTGCTCAGCTGTTTGTCCCTACATGAAAGTGTCAAAACAGGCAAAATCAACACGATATCCCTTTTAAATCCTTTTTGTCTTCCACAGTTGACAGTTTCCTGTTTGTTGTATTTTAGGAGACTGGGGACCTGTTACAGTCCAAAGGGAAAGAGTTTGGTGTGACGACGGGCAGAAAGAGGCGTTGTGGATGGCTGGACCTGATTTTGGTCAGATACGCTCACATGGTCAATGGCTTCTCTGCGTAAGGAACCATCACACCTTTTCAGAATATTATCCTTACCTGCTGATGTAAATACTCAGTTTAGACATGAGCTTCATCACGCACTCGACTGTCCACTGTCATCAGAGTTGAGCAGAGTGACTTCTTCTCTTGCAGAATTGCCCTGACGAAGCTGGACATTTTGGACACACTGAAGGAGATTAAAGTGGGCGTGGCCTATAAGGTTGATGGACAACCTCTACCAAGTTTCCCAGGTAGGTCTTTCCCACTTACAAGTTTTAGAGATCTGCTCAAGCCTTCTGGAAAGTCAGCGTAACATCTTCAAATTGCTTTTTGTGTCTGACTTGCACCTACCAAAACCTAGAGAGACACCTTTTAGTGATGTAAAACAGCAAGTCCTCACACATTTGAGAAGCTGGAACCAGTTAACCAGTAAAACAATTTTACCTGAATAAAAGACTTGGATGATATTGTTGTGAATCTGTCAGTACTAGATGAGTGCCGTGTAAATGTTTGGTCACATTTGACCTTGATGTCCTAATCTATTATTTAAAACATTCATGTTTAAGAGGATCCATCTGTCCACACATGTTTCAGTGCCACAAACATAATTACCATAAACCCAGGAGAGGAGCTTATTCTCAAAGCTACAAACTAAAATTTGGTTGCTGGTGAATGAACATTGCTTTAATGCTTGCTAATGTCTTATTTTACATGGGTCAGCTTTTGCTATCAGGAAATGCAACATCTTGGGTTTTTGAAAATCTATTTTGCAGCATATTCTCTCTCTCTCTCTCTCTCTCTCTCTCTCTCTCTCTCTCTCTCTCTCTCTCTCTCTCTCTCTCTCTCTCTCTCTCTCTCTCTCTCTTTGTTTGTACCGCCAAATGGAGAAAATTGAATTGTTAAGCTAATGAACCAGGTGATGATAAAACAAGTTTTCTCTTTCTGCCTCATGACGCTGCAGCTGCTCTCTGCCAGCATGTCAACACTGATTTCAACATGTCAGGGTCATTTTTTTATTGTTGTGCAACACAAGGTCGTACAATGAAATGTAAGATTTTAGTCCTTTCATGCTACACACATAGAACATGAGAATATTATATTAGAATAGGGTAGCATATAAAATAAAACAATCTATACAGTAATTTATACACATACACACCAAGCAGAATGTCAACAGCTGTGATAGATAGTGACGATATGTTTTCATTGTTACATAAAAACATTTTGTCCAGACCGGACCTTAGCCAGGTACAGCTGGGCCGGCATGACTCCTATCCCATGCTCTCTTTCCTGGAGCACCCGCCCTTGTGCCTGGTCTGGTTGATCCGGCAGGTGGATCGTCTCAAGGTCCGCTGCTCTTTAATCAAAACCCCGGCTGCCTTTTCCGATGACTGTAATACAGTTTTTAGGGCTGACCTCGAATAGTCGAAGATTCAATGCTTCGATGGGCGGAGCCCAAACATGGAAAGAGAGTGCGGGAATAAATCCAAAATTGTAACTCAGTGTTGTCGTGCTTGTGTTGTAGCGAACATGGACGTTTTGACGCGGGTGTCAGTGGAGTATGAGACGTTACCCGGCTGGTGCTGCAGCACAGAGGAAGCCCGGACCTTCGAGGACCTGCCGTCGCAGGCACAAAATTACATTCACTTCATCGAGGAGTTCCTGCAAGTGCCAGGTTTGTAAAGAGCCACATTATATTAATGGAGAGATTGCAGCCAAACTCTTCTTCGCTTTGCCAAATGTGTCAGTCACATCTTGTCTGTCTTTTCTTTTTTTCTCTCTTATTTCAGTGAAGTGGGTTGGAGTCGGCAAGTCCAGAGAGAGCATGATCAAACTGTTTTGATCCGTCTGCGGACCTGTAGTCCTCCTCAACAACAGCTCAGATAATAATTTAAGGTTTTGATGGGATTACAAGAGGAATTTAAATGCAAACTATGTCCTAAAGGAAATACTTCACCAGCAAGCTTAGTTGATACTTGTGCATCCCATTTAAAAGACTCCTTAGATATCATTTATGCATTCCACGTAATGTTTTCTATATTTATTAGGGTGTTAATTTTTAAAACCTGGTGCAAATACATCTATCATTCTCTATTCCATTCCACAGGCTTATTAATCTTAATATCAGTTCACCACGTTACTTTTGATTTAAGTTTTTTTTTTTTTGTTGTTGTTGTTTTTTTACATTTATTTAAAGAGCAATAAATGAACAGATTTGAAGCCTTCATATTAAAGGACGTCGCAACAAGATTATTTTCAGGCTTTGTAAAGAGATGGAAAAACCATCCTATGATCTGTATGATGGTGAACTTTTGTATTGAACAATTTTAAAACACTTTTAAAACATGAATGCATCTCAGATGTTAAGTTTGTAATAACATTTTCATGACGATTGTTGGAACCAACACATTGCTTTTTAAATCAACCTCAAGACGGATAAATCAACAAGAAGCAGTCTGAGTTTGAAGACATGTTTTCTTCATAATAACTGAAGGAAAATAATTCGAAATTCCATGTTTATGCAAAGGCATTGGTATTTGAGGACTTTGTGTAGATGTAAAGAGAACGGCTGTAATGTACTAAAGTATATTTCAATGTGTCAGTGTAAAAGGCTCCTACTCAGCTTGCTGTTATCAATAAACTTAACAAAAATACATTTAGTTTCTTTTTTTTTATTGAGCTATTTGTAAATGGTTAAGCCTTTTAAGTCTGGAAAGCATATTTTCGAGAAGGTAATTGTTCTCAGGTGTTCATGTGAAAGGTATGAACATGTTTTGTTTTGAAACCATCCTACACTTAAGAATATTAATATAAAGAAAATACAGTCTGTGTAGGGGTTTACATGTAAAATAACATAACCAAAATGATTACCACATTTCTGGTTGTTGCAGTCTTATTCATTATGAATTGATAGGAACGTATTTAAATACCTGCAAATCTTGAATGGGGACTTATTTTGAATTATTGCCCCTTTGATCAACATGATCCTACAAGAGAGACGTTAAGAACAGGAATTTTCTTTTTCAAATTGTGTCCATCCAAAAGATATTTACAGTGCAGGATATTTTGTAGTCAAAAAATAAACCAAGCAGTGTTTTCTGTTAGGCAAACTATGTAATGGAGACAGTGTTTCTTTAGTATTTCTGTATAATCTGTGTAGTTGAGGCTGACAGCAGACGTATAAAGCACTTCTGATAAATCTGCAATAAGATCAAGTTGGCCGATATATCAGTCGGGCAGATTTATTGGCCTAATGATTAAAGCACTCCCAAATGTGACTGTACTGCCATACATCAATCTGCGGAAACATCCATTGCTGGTTTTGAAATGGAGGCATGTAGTGGACAGATATCTGCACTCCTCTTCCCAGAACATTCACACACCTTCCAGCCTGGAATATTTTTCTCTCACTGTTTCTTACTTTACACCCTCCTTTGTTACCTTGACTTCCTCTCACGATTTAAAAGCTTTTCAGGACAGTGAGGGATTAGATTAAAGGGTAAAGTGGATTCCTTGGCAGATCGATTAGAGGTGTAACAGTGTACCAGGAGCTTCTCAGATATTCAGTCGTTCTAATGTATTAAAGGCTCTGCACACCCACACAGGTGTTTTCAGCTGTTCCGGCTGATTACACCTCTGCTCAGGTTTGAAGTCCGACAGATACATGTTCAGATTAAAGTCTGCATGCAAATAAATATATGGTTAAGTTGAAATGTTGCATGTGTACCAAAACCAACAGAATAGTCAACCACAGTCCTACATATCAACAAATACCTGATTAGGTAAAATAATATAAGAAAAACTATTCAGTGAAAATGTTTTCATTGCTTGTGTTTTCACATGAATGTAATACATGATTTATATTTTAAATAGTAGCTCAATTTAAGTTATGCACCTACAATATTTCTATGTCAGTTTATAAGCTACTGTCTTAATATTCTTAGTGTATACTTAACAGATAAGTTGAAGCCATTCTTAAAGTCAAAGGAAATTTTTCTTCAAAACTATTCCACCATTTTCCATATACACTGAACAAAATTGTAAACACTTTTGTTTTTGCCCCCATTCATCATGAGATAAACTCAAAGATCTAAGACTTTCTCTTTGTCCACAAAAGGCCTATTTCATCCACCTCACAGGTGTGGCATATCAAGCTGCTGATCAGACAGCATGGGTATTGCACAGGTGTGCCTCAGGCTGGCCACAATAAAATGTCACTCACTGCCGGGTGGATCCGGGGGGATCCGGAAACCAGTCAGTATCTGGTGTGACCACCATTTGCCAGTGCAACACATCTCCTTCGCATAGAGTTGATCAGGTTGTTGATGGTGGCCTGTGGAACGTTGGTCCACTCCTCTTCAATGGCTGTGCAAGTTGCAGTCAGGTTGACGAGCATGCAGATGAGCTTCCCTGAAACGGTTCCTGACAGTTTGTGCAGAAATTCTTTGGTTATGCAAACAGATTGTTGCAGCAGCTGTCCGGATGGCTGGTCTCAGACGATCTTGGAGGTGAAGATGCTGGATGTGGAGGTCCTGGGCTGGTGTGGTTACACGTGGTCTGCGGTTGTGAGGCTGGTTGGATCTACTGCCAAATTCTCTGAAATGCCTTTTGAGACGGTTTATGGTAGAGAAATGAACATTCAATTCACAGGCAACAGCTCTGGTGGACATTCCTGCAATTGCACGCTCCCTCAAAACTTGCGACATCTGTGGCATTGTGCTGTGGGATGGACTGCACATTTTCGAGGGACCTTTTATTGTGGCCAGCCTAAGGCACACCTGTGCATTAACCATGCTGTCTGATCAGCATCTTGATATGCCACACCTGTGAGGTGGATGGATTATCTT